TTCATTTGTAATGTGTTCTTATGAACTTGGTTTTGAGCAAAAATAGTAATTTATCGTGTTGGTCAAATTTCGATCCAATTGCGTATTCTCTGTCGTGAAATTGTTTGGTTCGGTCTGGTACGTAACCGGTTTAAAATCAATTGGTTTATAACACAAACTTCATTTTCGGTCCAGTTAAGATTAAATCCAATTACTTGAATTTCTAATAGGAATACTGGTCGGTATTTGGTTAAGGAATTTAAACCAAGATTGTTTAACCGTAAATTGGCTTAGACCGATCAATTTAATCTATAAGTTTACTTAAACCAGCCAATGACCCGGTTTGTTCGGTTTGTGCTTCCCTATGAAAGACAGAAGACGAAATTCCCTGCGGTCTTGTAAAAAACCGATCAACAAAAAAAAGAGGAAACAAAAAAAATTGTGTCGAAAAGGAGGGAAACGGAAACCTAAAACCCTAAAAAGCTCCTCCTTTTCTCCAGTTTTTCTCTGCGTTTCTCTTCGAAATCTTTGTTCGTAAGACTCTGTCTTCTGGGTAGTTCAAATTTTCCATTTTTCCATCCTCGTTTCCTTTGTTTGCCTGTTATTAAAAGTGAAGAAAGAAGCTTTCTATGGCGAGGATTCTCCGAAATGTTTCTTCACTGAGACGCTCTATGTTCCCGTCTGAGGTAATTCATCTTGTTTCTCACACTTGGGTATTGCTAGATAGTTATTAAACACTCTCTGTTGCCGTCGTTTTCATTGCTTATTTGGGTGCATGATTAAATTGAGTCCCAAATGTTGTCTCTCTGTTTCAATTCTTTGTCTTATTGTCTCTCTTGGTGAATATTGTGAGATGGGTTTTACAGGTATATAGTAGAGGTGTGGTTGGTACATCGTTTCAGCTTCGAGGTTTTGCTGCTAAAGGTTAATTAAAGCTTCTACCTTTGTGTCTATTGAATGGATGTTTTGATTTTGATGGAGCCATGTCCTTTTCCTGATTGCTTAAGCTCATTGTGGTTCTTACAGTTTAAGGTATTTTGACATTAACTCTGCGAATTTGTTTTTTGTGTTTGAAGCTAAAAAGAAATCTAAGTCAGATGGAAATGGATCATCTGAGGAAGGTTTGTCAAAAAAGGAGATTGCTCTTCAGCAAGCACTTGATCAGATAACGAGTTCATTTGGCAAAGGGTCGATTATGTGGCTCGGTCGTGCTGTTTCTCCTAGAGATGTTCCGGTTTACTCTACCGGGTCTTTTGCCCTTGATGTAGCATTAGGAGTCGGTGGCCTTCCTAAGGTATATATATATGTATCTCTTAGTGCTATTACTCTTTCCCCAACATGTGTGTGTTTGGTGTTATTTTAGATTAGTTCATTCGTCTGGTTCAAATATCCTTGAGGTCTATGTAGAAGTTTATGTATCTCTTTGAAGAATCCTGTAATATTGGTCTCAGCTTTGGGTAGCTTCTTATTGTTCTCCTTGTTGTAAATTTGATAGGGACGCGTTGTGGAGATATATGGCCCTGAAGCATCTGGAAAAACAACACTTGCTCTTCATGTTATTGCAGAAGCACAAAAACAAGGAGGTTAGTACATGTTTCTTTAACTTTTTGTCTATGTTCTTTACTGAACCATTTGGTATTTAAAAGGCACTAGTGTTCTAAAAGATGTTGTTTGCATACAGGAACCTGTGTCTTTGTAGATGCTGAGCATGCTCTTGATTCATCGCTTGCTAAGGCAATTGGTGTAAATACAGAAAATCTTCTTTTGTCACAGCCTGACTGTGGCGAGCAAGCCCTTAGTCTTGTGGACACTCTAATCCGAAGTGGTTCAGTTGATGTTATTGTTGTTGACAGTGTAAGTAAGGTGATTTTAATGGGTTGAATAATGGATTGATGCTCTTGCTTCGGGCTCTATATTTTTCTCCTCACGGTTTTTTGTGACTTTATTTTTGTAGGTGGCTGCTCTTGTACCTAAAGGAGAACTTGAGGGCGAGATGGGTGATGCCCATATGGCTATGCAAGCCAGATTGATGAGCCAAGCTTTGCGTAAATTGAGCCACTCTTTATCGTTATCGCAAACACTTCTGATCTTTATTAATCAGGTACAGAATTTTGGTAGTTGAGATTTGTAGAAATGTTCTTATAGACAACTCAGTTCTATCAAGTTCCTGCTTTGTGGAATGTAAGTCTTATGTGAATTTATCTTTTCTTCAGGTGAGAGCAAAACTGTCTACATTTGGTGGGTTCGGGGGTCCGACAGAAGTTACTTGTGGTGGAAATGCCTTGAAGTTTTATGCTTCTATGCGTCTGAATATTAGGCGAATCGGATTTGTCAAGAAAGGTGAAGAGGTAAAATATCAAAAACCTGCCAACAGATTTTGAGTTTCAAGCTCTTACCTTTACTAAATTCTGGTTTCTACGATCTGTCTTATGTTTGTGTGTCTATCATAACTTCTTTGTTGTCTCCACAAATACTGATCTTTAGGGTGACTTAGAATTGTATACAAGTTGCAATTTCTTGTGTGTTCAAGCTCTTACCTTCGCTAAATTCGGCTTTTTGTATCTGTCATATGTTTGTGATGCGTGTTTAATTGATCACTCAAAACTTTTCTGATCTTGAGGATGACTAAGAGTTGTATATATACCGCATTTGCTTGAGTTTTAAGCTCTGACTTTAACTAAATTCGACCTCTTTTAATGATCTGTCTTGTGTTTGTGGTCTGTGTTTAGTTGATCAATCAAAACTTTTCTGTTGCTCCTTAATTCCGAACAAATACTGATCTATAGGAGAGTAGTCTATAAACTGCATTTGCTTGTGTACGAAACCTGACATTGTATGCTTGTGCAGACAACGGGAAGTCAAGTTTCTGTAAAGATAGTGAAGAACAAACTCGCACCGCCATTTAGAACAGCGCAGTTTGAGCTCGAGTTTGGGAAAGGAATCTGCAAGGTCACGGAGATAATCGAACTGAGCATAAAGCACAAGTTCATTGCCAAAAACGCAACGTTCTACAATCTAAACGGGAAGAACTACCATGGAAAAGAGGCTTTGAAGAAGTTCTTGAGACAGAACGAACCGATTCAAGAAGAACTCATGAACAAGCTCAAAGACCAGCTCATTGCCGATGAAGCTGCAGATAAGGAATCTGAATCTGAGGAAGAAGAAGATCCTGTTCGAGTTTTGGTTTCATCTGAAAACACAGATGATGAAGCACCAGCTCTAGTTGTTGGTGCTGCTGCTGCAGTGGTTGAAGCATGATTAGACAATTCCGGTTTAGAATGATAATTTTCCTTTGGTTTAGAGTTTCTTCGGGTTACTGCGGTTTGGATTCGGTTTTTCCCTCTCTCCTCATGTAATTTAGGTGTGAGTTAATCACATTTACATATAATCGCAGCTGTGGTTGAGAAATTTTTGTAGTTTTATGAAATAATTTAATGTTAAGTAACTAAAAACAGAACATTTTTTTCTTATCTGTCCATTTCATTTCCATTCAAACCTCCCAATTCAGGACCATTTCTTCCTGTGCAGCAGCGTTAATATTAATTCATGATTTGATTTAGTTAAGTAAAAAAGCTGAATGATTTTTTTTTTTTTTTCAATCACACTGTGTTTTAATCATTTGACAGATACAGTTCTTAAAAACAAAAAAAAGTTCAAAATTTTGATATTCGTTTTTGAAGTTTTCTATTTTACATAAAGAAATCGAATATGGATAGTACAAAATGTAGGTATTTAAATAAACAATTGTAAAAAGTAGATTAATTTAGCCATTTTCTCTAAATTTTTCAAGAAACAATGTATTAAATATATTTTGTTTGAGAAAAAATGTATAAATACTATCAAAGAGTTCAGACTTTTAAGTCAATCAAAAGATGTCTTGTCCTGGAGACAAAAGTTTCTTGGGATCAAACATATCCTTCCTCTTGGAGATATCTTGCCATTTTGATCCATAATGTTCAACCCAATCTTCTTTTCTGGTGTAATGCATTAGGTACTGCTTAATCTTAATACCCGATTCCTTGCAAAACCTAATTATCTTCTCATTATTGCTTTGGATTTCTGGCAAATTCTGTTGGTTAGCTGATTGTAGTATTCCGATTATATAGAAAACATCTTCTTCATCTGGTATCACCGCAGAGATACGATTATCCCATCTACCAAAAAAAACAACAAAATCATTTTCATTAAAATTTACTTGATTTTGCAGATTAGTATGAATAGAAAACTTACTTGGCTCGGTTTGTGGGATATAGGAGAGAAACTCCAGAAATCGAAGTTTGTTTAAGAAGAATGTTTTTGATAACACCATCATGGAAATCGAGTATTCGAGATTTTGGGACGTAGAGGTTAAGCCATGGATGAGGAACATCCCATAAACCCAAAGATCTAAGTTTATTTTCTTCCGTTTGTACACGGTTCAAGAAATCGAAGATGGGCACGTCGTGCAAATATATGAACCCGGGGAGGTAACTCAGGGTTTTTGTTAACTTGTCAATGACCTACAAAATATATAAAACTTGATTGGTCTTTATAATGCATGAATGTGTTAAGTATGTCTGTATGGTGCAAATGATGAATGTTGTAACTTGTAATGTATCGTAAATGATAACTATTTCACTTTCTTATAGTATGATCAAGACAATGATGATACATTATACATGTAACAAACAACCATAGTTATGATGATGTATAACATGAATATGTATAGTACCTGACCAATGATGGGCAGTGTGCGATCGTCATAATATTTGGCTACTTCGAGAACATAGATGATACCGTGGTCCTTCACTAGATTTGCAACTTTAGATTGATCGGACAGTGGAAAAAAAGAGGTGTCTACGAAGCCGTTTGACATCAATAGTTGACCTTCTACATAGTCAACTCCAATATCATTGGCCAATGATATCAAACGTTCTTGGTCCTTTGTAAAAGCATTGAAGTCACTATAGAGCATCCGAAACCATTTTGCCTACACGTTTTCATTTTTTTTTTTAAATTCCTTAGTTT